CTGCTCTTTTGGGGCTGACAAAAAGGAGGATCAGCACCGCAGCATAGGGTTGCTGCAGCCCCGATCTGCCACTCCCAGGGGTGGTTGAGAGCCACCCCAAACAAGCCATCTGCATTGGCCCTATATTACCATAATAATGCTATTAATAATCACCCAACATTTTGAGAAGGGATAGATGATGATGGTGGTGGTGGAGATGGTCCAAATGGGCAAGAGACCAATACAGCAAGCCTATCTATGTATTTCTATTCAGAATTAAATTTTTCTGAATTTAATGGCACTTACAAAGTTAAAATGATCAAAATTAGCCCCTGACTAGAACAGGAGAACAAAGATGATAACTATAGCAAGGAGAACTGGTGGGCAAAGTGGATGAGTAGGATGAGGAAGGAGGGGAAAAACATTTTTAGTCATATAGAATTGGGATGGAGATGAAGGAGAAAGAAGATGAAAGAGAGGGGATAGGAATAGGAAAGGAAGGGGAAAACAAAAGCAGCTACAAGGGAGGTCTAGAGAGAGTAAAGAAGGAGAAGATATTTTTCATGGCTCTATCCTATGAAATTCTGTGATTTGTAGTTTGATATACTCCAACTATGGGAGTCATCCTACTGGGTCTCCATTATGCCTATATTTACCTTCCTGTACTAGGACTTCAAGTTCACCTTGTTTGTTTCCCAAACTCTATGTTTTGGTTTATAGACGTCTGAAGCTTTGATTGTTCTCATTTATTAATTTACTGTGCCCCTGGTTCTCCCCTAGAAATCACATCCTTGTGTTTAAAGCTTGCCTTTGGACTGATGTTTGCACTACCATCTCCAAACCCCAAATCCAAAAGCTCACTTCTTCAAACAAAAAATAGTACCCAGCCTTCAAGAGCCCCTAGTCAGGGGCTACATATTGAAAATGTAGGAAATGATTGCTTAGTTGGAGAGGTTGTGAATCCCTTCTTTATACAATGAATGTCCTCCAGGGTACAATAACATCCAGATCTGCAAAACAGTGATACCTTTATGGGGCCAACCAAAATGCACAGTGTACATGTTGCAAGATTTTGAAGCTCCACTGGCTTCTTCATCAGGAAAAACTGTTTAAAAATCATACAGGAGAAAGGAATCAAATGACAATGTTGGTCACAGGCCTACATTTTTGTCAAGATGTTGTAGTTGTCTTCAGTTCAGATGATATGGAGGGGTATTCATGCAGGCAGGTCCTTCCTCCTTCTGGCCATTTGGGTACTGGGAGACTCTTAAAGCCCGGGAAATAAACTTTTTAAAAAGTTTAAAAGTTACTACTTTTGGAATCTAGTGTGTCTGCTTTGTGAGGCTATAAGCCCCTTTGTTAGGCAGAGAATACTGAATGTTATCCTCAGTTCAGATGGTATGAAGGTATATTCATGCAGGCAATAGAGCTTTGAAAGCTTGCAACATGTTTATTGTGCATTTTGGTTGGCCCCAAAAAAGTATCACTGTTTTGTGGATTGTGGATGTATTGTAATTTGCTATATGGCCAACATAGCTACTCCTGGATATGTTCTCCAGAGTGTTTCCTCACTTTTACTAGCCTCTTAATTTCCCTTGGTGGTTTCTTCCGATTCATTCTATATGATCAATTTTCCCTGTCTTCTATCCAGGAAGTCCTCATGTTCTCTGTTGCGCTGAAGGAATTCAACACTAATACATTGACCTTCTCTTCCAAGATAGCTACCAATTTGCACTTGCTGCAGGTGTAGTTGGTGAGGTTTTCTGGCAAGATAAGAAATGTTACACATAGATTGCTGCAGACAACTATGTTTCTCTCCTCTCCCTCCTTGTAATATCTATATGGGATATAGGGGATATGGTCTATACCATTGGTTCAAAAGCTTGTTGGCTCTCCTCACATGGCTGCTTTTTTGCTCAGAGGGACTTCAGCAAAGGCTGATGGGGGAAATATGCAGACGAGCTATTACTTTCCCAGAGTTTCACTCTTCTAAAGTACTTGAAACAGATGACATTTCAACAAACTTGAAATACATGGCACCTCAACACAGACAGTTCAGAAAAGTTAAAATGTCCAGCCATTGGTTGTTCAAACATTGCAGATTTGTGATTCCTGAGGTGTGTACATGGTTATTTTCTCCACATACTGAAGATAACATCCTATACATCTACATTTAATCACATAAATAAGATTGTGTGCCTGGCAAATAATGTTTTGTTTAAGATATATAGTAGGTACTGCCAGTCACTTGCTTCAAAGTGTGACTGTATTCTTAAGATAACATGGAAGTAATGCAGTGCTTGAAATCCAGGGTTGCTAGATGGTGTTTAAAAGCAGCTCTTAAAAGCAATAACTGTAGATTAGATGACTGGCAGAAAGCTGTAAAGGAAGGCTTGCTGATGGCTCTGGTAAGACATTCAGAATTTGCTAACAATCAATACCTTTTCCTAACTCCCTTTTGGTAGTTAGGAGATGTTGATTAGAAATCTATTGCAAATGGAAGATGGTGTTGGCTTGGCTTATGTCTTTTGTGGAGATTTGCTCTCAAAATGATAGTTTCTGTCTTGGTGATGTTAACTGTGATATGAAGAGGATATTTCACTTGAAGCAGCTGTTGAATAAGTCCATTGGCCCTTTCATAGTCATTTTCATTTACACTACAGATGCATCTAATTCTTAAAGCTGTTATTTTTAACATATCTGGGGAGGTAGGTTCTCCAATCCAGGTAAGTATGGGCATCAGTGGGCTTATTGTGAAGATCAGTGGTAATTTTGTGATTCTCAGGGGTGAGGATAGGAATATGTTGTGTTCTCACCCTGAGATTCCTCCCTGGGACCTGGAAGTGAGGGGCATGGCTTAAAGACCCAGAGCCCTAACTGCCAGGCCCATCTGTTTCAGTGAGGACTGTCTAGATGAAGATCTGCATTTCAGAATTTACCACAGCACTGTTGCGTAAAACCTAAACTCTTTTACTTTCCAAGTTTTTACTTTCTATTGGTCTTACATGAGATTGCAATACAAGAAAGAGCTAAGGAAGTATTCACATTGACCATATGTCTTGAAAGTAAGCCTTGATTCATGCCCTTTTCCTTCAATGATGCCATGATGAAATCATATACTTTTTTTAAGAAGAGAAGGGCAATATTTATGTCTGCTCATTAGCAAGGAAGCCATTAAGCAAAGGTGCACTTTGTAAACCAAATACAGCTTTCTGTAGCATTTGGATGGATGAGGGAATTTAAACCATCACTCCCTCCAGAACTGGCAAAATTCAATAAATATTCTGGAAGTGATCCATGAATGTGACATGCAATGTTGAAACTAAATATTGCTTTAATGGAAATAAATCTGCAGTCCAGCAGGTGGCTGACATTGCACATTGATTTTTATTTTCTTTATACTGTAAAATTCCTGTTTAACTGTTTGCTTATTATTTAGAGTATTGATTCCAGCATCTGGTATACATTGCAATCACAGGAAAAAATTAATAATGTAACTTATAAGGAGAAAATTACCTGGTTTGTGCTTAAGGGATAAGCAACATCTGGCCTTCTAGGTAATTTAATGTGGCTTGACAGGGCTTTACAAAACTGGGAAATGTTCAGCTTTTACTTCTTTAAAATAGATTACTACATGGCTTAGTAACTGCAGGAAGCAAGGAAAGATGTGAGGCGAGATATTTTGCTGCCTGAAAAGATAAAATAATCTAACTATACAATTTTCACCTTTAAGGTGAAGGGCAGTATATTCCACTACCACTTGTTTTCTTTTTTCCACCATTGATCTGGGGTACTTCAGTTCAGAAACACAAGCTTCAGTAAAACAGAAAGCTTTATTCAAGAAACTAAAGGTGTTCACAGCATGGTGTTATTGTCAGGACTGAAGCACTTTTGATTACAGATTCTATTAAAAGCAATTAGCAATTCAAATGTTTTGGGTGCTAACCACCCATTCATCTTTAAACCAAAACATTCCCATTCCCAGACCTATCCTTCTTTTCCTCTCTATACCAGGTATTCCCATCGAACTGATCTTGACAGTTTAAAGCAGTCTTCATTCCTCACATCCGCTCATTGGCCAGCTTCAAGAAAGATAAACATTCTTTCCACCCAGCATTACCACTTGAGTAGCATAACTCATCATCCAGTATTACAAGCAAAATGTATACATAACACATAGTCAGCAATCATGGCAGGACCTATGATCCTGACATAAACCAGCAGCTGACTTCAGGCTTGTATGATCTACTTTAGGTTTTTTATTAACTCCTCAAGAGCCACCAACCAGAGCCAGGTGCCAAATGGCAGCTCAGGGAAAGGTGTCTGTAATGTACTATGGCCCATGAGCCACACACTGGGATAGCCGATAGAGCAAAAAATTCTAAAAACCCAGTTTGGCCCCCAAAAAAGAGGAAGCCCTTTTATATTTGCTGCCCTCAAAGATCAGAAACTATTACTGATCCCAGATCTGCCAGTAGATTCCCCAGGAGCCTTCTGCTCATCCTTAGAGGGCAGGCAAGAGTAAGGCTGGGCTTAGTTCTTAGTTCTTCTTATTATTATATCCCACCTTTTTCCCAATAGGAAAAAGGCAACTAACAACATTATTAAAAACAATACAGATTAAAAACTGTACAAACTTTTGATAAAAGTATAAATCTAAAATTTATTTTAAAAGCAATTAAACTGTTTGTAGAGTTAAAACAGTAAACATTAAAAACATTAAAATTCATTAAAAGGCTATATAGACCATAAAACAGCACAGGACATCATTAAAAACCCAAATGCTCCTAACCACAGTCCTCACCCTCTGTAAAGTGACAGCTTCTTCAGTATGGCCGTGTGCCTCTCACATAGGTAGGAGTACGATGTTGTTGTTGTTGTTGTGTGCCTTCAAATCATTTCTGACTTATGGCGACCCTAAGGAGAACCTATCAAAGGGTTTTCTTGGCAAGATTTATTCAGAGGAGGTTTGGCACTGTCTTCCTCTATGTGACTTGCTCAAGATCACCCAATGGTTTTCATGGCTGAGCTGGTAGTTGAACCCTGATCTCCAGAGTTGTAGTCCAGCACTCAAACCATTATGCCATGCTGGCTCCCTGGCGGGAAATGGTATATCTGTATCTAAGGGGAAGAAAATGGGAGAAGAGAGATGAATCAGAGGATCAAAAGTCAGGAATTGATTCATATTTATGCTTATCACTGGCAGCTGATAGCTTCCATGTCAGTGAGGTAGTGTATGTACTTTTTTACACTAGACTTTAAAAGAGCTGTCCAAGATCCTGAACCCTATGCTGAACCCTATACCCACAATGGGTTCACCCACTGAATTGCTCTTTTACAGTTTGGACTGAAACCCAGAGTGGATTCACTGACATGGAAGCTGCAACTGACACTATCCCAGTTCTCTATATTCTCTTTTTTCTCTCCATTATTTTTATTAATTTTTATAATTTGGTACAACAAAATTGATTAAACAACAGCTTAATTCTACAAATTTACAAATAAATTCATTAAATTATGCTTTTTTCCTTTGAATAACTGGAGTTAGTTAAATCAATCTGACCCTCACTTTCATTTCACTTCTTTCCAATACCTGAGTATGAAATCTTTTTATCCTACTTTTCTACACTCTCATAGGCCTATCTGAGTCTCATGAACTAATGTGCAGGCAACAGTGTCATTGCCAACAGGCCTTTCCAAGGGTGTGGTGAGCCCTCTAATTGGTGATGCTACACCAATGTTTTACCATCAAGTTGCTCCTGTGATGGATTCCCAAGGCAGGTTGTTGGTTCTTAGAGTTGAAGTCTTGGGCCTATTCAGCAGATTGAATACCACCAAAATCAGCAAAGGTAGCATACCACATTTTGAAGTCAAAAATTAGGGAGGGCAGCTATGGCCATCACCCCTGCACACCTGTGGCAGACTGCACCATACTGTTTTCAGACAGAAATGGTTTCCATTTCTGGATTTGAAGAAGTGGGCTGGAGGTGGCAGAGTGGTAAAATTAATAGCTGAAATTAGGTTGGTGACATATAGAGGTCTAATGTTGATTTACACCTGTGTGAGTCCTTTAATGGCCATTGTGCAAGGAGGTATTCACAATCTCCTTTGCACAACAACCTCCTGCATGTGCAGGACCTGCTTCTCTCCTGACATTCCCACCCACCCATTCCTGACTATTGAGACCTTCTGCAGATCTTCCACAGGTCCCAGAAGATGACGACATCTTCATATGTCCTGGCTACCCCCTTCCCTCCCCTGGCCACTAAATCTGCAGGGGAAGAATTACTGCTAGAGATAGAAAAAAAAATATGTGCAGGGAGGGAAGAGGGATGGAGTTCCATCTGGCATCTGGCAAAGCTCTCTGCTCCAGAAGATCCATCAGAGATTTTAGCCAATATGCCATTTCTTCAGGAACAGTAATTGATTTTTTTTTTGACCAAAATATAATATGGAAAAGATGTAAGAGCTTTGGGGAGATTCAAGCATGCCTGAGACCATAAAAGGGGAGTTGTGGACTGCACAAAAAGATCTAAAGATCTCCCTATCTGTCCTAAGGATATGTCAAAGCTAGTCTAACATTACCGAATTGTACCACTTCCCAGAGTTCCAGTAAGCTGACACCCAGAATTCATCACCGCACCTACCTGGCCACACTCTCCAGTCTGTTTCAGGTTTGGCTGAAGCTGAGCCATCTTATCTGCAGCATATTGACATATGGTTGTGTGTTGATAAAGGCATTAATCTGCATACAGTCACTCTCTTGCTCTCTCTTAAATGGCTGGCTGTCCTCCTTTTAAGACCTTGGGAATTAATGAGACCCTCTTGCTGGCTGACAGTAAGGAAGTTGTGCTTATACAGAATGGAAAATTAGATGTAGCTGCATAAACCATACTCTGGTCTTTGGCACAATATGTCCAAAGCTGCTACTGAGCCATTAAAACTCTCATTTGCTTTTCAACCACCTGGAATTTGGCAGCATTCCTAATTGTCAAGATTTCTAATTAATATCTGGGGGAGGGGGGTGTCAGTGACATGTTTTGAACATAAGATCCCCTGATAAAATATTGGATTCATGTTGAAAAGTGCAGGACAAATATTAATTAGTACCTTGGCAAACTCTCTTTCATTCTTTCACTATCTAATCTTTAAATTTTGGAGTTCAATAACTCTGATAGATTAGCCTTGTATCCAACCTAGGGAATCTGTTCAATATCCCTTTGCCAGGGAATATCTTTTTGAAATGTTGAACACTGCATCTTGTTCAAACAGAAGAAGTGGTGCCTTTTAGTGACAAAAGCAGAGAGAATAGTCTTGTACGCTGACCTCAAATGTTGCTTTCTTTTCCTTTCCTTTTCATCATGAAAACTGGCTGCAACCTTGAGCAAATGTGAAGTTCAGTGACTGATTCCCCCTTACTGAGAACTTACAAAGCATTGCAGGGATATGGGGCTGTTAACTTGTCAGAGAGAAGATTCTTCCTCTGCCTCTCTCTCTCTCTTTTTCAAACATATAAATTTTCTAATTACAAATATTCTTCAACAGCTTGAAACATTCAGGCTGAAGGAACCTCATCTTGGTTTGACTTCAAACAATTTCAATGGTCTTTTTTTTTTTTTAAGAACAGTAGAAACAGATGTGCATTTAAAATCTGCACATATCTACCCAGATGAATTTCCAGTTGAATTCAACAGAATTTAGTCTTACTTGTCAATACAGGATTTTTGCCTCAAAGCTTATTTTGAGATTGTAAAGGTCTCCTTCCCCCTTTCTCTCTCTCTCTCTCTGTATTACACTCTGACCTCCATATCCATGGATTTTGCATCCATAGCTTGAAAATATTTCCCCCAAAAAGTATTCTAAAAAGCAAACTTAGATTTTGCCATTTTTATGAGGGATATCATTTTACTATGCCATTGTATTCAATGGGACTTGATTTTGGTATCCACAGGGGCTCTTAGAACCAAACCCCAACAGATGCCAAGGGTCCACTGTATATCCAAAGCTGTCATGTCCCATGTGCAGCATGAAATAACAGTTTATTTTCAAATTATATTATTCTCTTCTGCCACTGGTAACTCAAGGAGGCTAACCCATATTTATTTTGAAAATTTCTAAACTGCTCCTTCATTTGCATAAAATCCTACAGATCAGAGCCCTAAATACGTTAAGTCCCAACTAGTAGACACATTTAATCAATGGAAACCTGTTAAGTCAACAGTTATGAAAATTTCATTGATTCATTGAGTTTGCTGCAGTAACTTGGGACTAACAGTGGAGGTTTGGCCTCATTTCTGGTTTAAAAAGAAATAAATCAAAAGAATGCAAAGTGAGAATAGCAATAAAATACAGCGGTAAGAAACATAAATACCTTTTAATCAGCACAGAATTCATTGATCTAAAATTAGTTTGAACTGAATGGAAAATTTTTAAATGCCTAGGCAAACAGGAACCCATTAAAAGAATACAGCATTAACACCACTTATTTCTCCCTTGGAAAGATATTCCAAAGGAGTGCCATTTTGTAAATTCAGCACAATTCTGACTATTGTAACATTTAAATAAGGGTCACCTCTGCATATCATAGTGCACTGAGAAAATGGTATACTGAGAGGCACTTTTCCAGATATGTGGGCTCTGTGCTATTTAAAGTCACCTTGAATTGGGATCAGAATTGAATTGGGATCAGAGTTGAATTGTGATCAGACTAACTCCTTCAGCGTTTGTACAATGTGGCTCCATGTAGATCATGGAAATGGCTATTGAACTGTTGCTCTCACCAGCATTAGCCAGGAGAGCCAGTGTTAACATCTATTCATCAAATTTTCATCTTGCCATGAGTCCACTGCAATTTATTTTCTTCATCCATCTCACTACTAAGTTCAAACAATGGTTCAGCAACCCCATAATCTCACTAATTTAGTTCACAAATAAATTAGTGATACGAAAATAAATCCATCAACCTCTTCAAGAAACTTGCCCAGGTACAAACAGACATCTTCTTTCACAACAAATGCAAGCAACAGGATGTCATCCCTAAAGGCCTGCTTGTGAAGAACCTTCTACAGACAACCTACCACACAGACTACAGTGACAAACTGTGCACAATCCTTTCCAGGGAACTGCTTAAACATCTGATAAACATAATGTACAGTAAATAAGAAAAAAAAACACAAACTGGACTTGCTATTTCATTTCCATACACAAAGGATTTTGAATTTGAATTGACATTCTCATATACCAAGGGCATATATATATATATATATATATATATATATATATATGTCTGTCTCTGGCTTCCACTCCACCAAAAACATCTGAGGAAGTAGACTGAAGTCTGAAAAAGCTCCTGCTGCCATCTTCTTTCTTTCAGTTAGTCTCAAAGGTGCTACGAGATCTCTCTACGTACTGATTCTGCAGACTAACACAGCTATATCTTTGAATTCTAAAAAAATAGAGTGTCACAGCAGCATGCTCCAAAGCCCTGGATGTCTCCATGAAGTGGCTTTATGTAAGTTAAAAAGCATGGGGGACAACATAGAGCTTTGCAGGTAATTATTACAATTTCCCTGTCCAGTGAGTTTTTAAATGCCATAAGTTTGAGCAGAGGTCCCCTAATACTGCCTTCTGAAACCAGCTCTGCAGGTAGCAGAACAATTCTATCAATGTGATCTTCAGCCTACAAAAGTGGACCAATAAGATATCAGGGTGAATGTATGAAAATGCATTATGGGAGAGGGAAAATCAACAGAGTTGCATTCTCCTCCCTCTCTCTCCCAAGAAAAATCATCCATGAGATTTTCTTTCAGTGCCAGCTCCTATCCCAAGTCTGCATTGAAACAGGTTTAGATAATTGGTTTCATTCAGTGGCATTTGAGTTGGACCACTGTCATCGTCTGAAGCTCCTTATCCAAGAAGAAAATGTTTCCAACCAGAAGGTAATTATTACAATTTCCCAGTCCAGTGTCTCCTCCTATAGAGAGATCTTGTAGCATCTTTGAACTAACTGAAAGAAAGAAGTTGGCAGCATGAGCTTTTGTAGACTAAAGTCTACTTCCTCAGATGCATTAGAAGTAGACTTTAGTCTACAAAA